AAAGTAGGCTGTCGGTACGCATCTTGTCGGTATCTTGTCAAAGTGTTGTTTCAGCTACTCTCACTTTCTTGCTGTAAATCACTTGCTTAGCTAAGCCACTTGTGTATGTTTCTGATGTAAAGTTTCAGTGATCTTTGCAAGCGCAGATTAAGCTTATTTATTCCTTTTTTAGTCATCTATTGGTACAATTACTTGTTAGTTATAAACCTGTGAACCTATTACCACGTTTTCCTGATTACGTTATTCTTGTTTATGACACCCCTGATCATTGGAGCACTACTCCCTGATAGAGGCAAAATGTGAAATGGTCGAACCCTTTGGGGGCTGACATTATCAGTATCATCCGAAACGCAATCAAGGCGAAGCACTGACAGTAAATGCGTGCAGGGCAAGTATCACAACAAGCAAACGAGTGAGTATGGTTTTACGCCGCTTTTAGCAATATTCCAGCAATATCACGGCAGGGGACACCAGAAATGGGCTTCACACATTGTACCCATGTCGGGAATCGAACCCGGGTGTTCGGTATGACGAGCGAACGCTTTAACCATTAGGCTATCCGATTGCCCCATTTTCCATCAGAGTCGATATGCTAACAATACGCATGCTCACTCTACGGGCTCTAGAGCTATTGGTCTCATATACGGTAAGAGAATATAGTTTTGTTGCTAGTATAAAAAATATGAAGAAGATATTTATTTATTTATCTTAGGTTTCAGAGTCGACAGTAAGATGTTAAATACCAACCACTCGCAGTCAGCTTGTGTAATGGGAGCGTTAAGACGGCCGGCCTAGTGCCCTCATGGCATTCACGTTCCCCGGGGAGCTGAGCGAGGCCCGGTCATGTATCGTATAGCTTTGGCCAGGGTAATAATGTAATTAAACGCTCCTTTTCTGGTGGCGTACAGGAAATATACTCTCTGTGAACACATTATTATTCAGTTCTCACTAGCAGCAGGTGCGCCTCGTTATGCAAACTGACGCCTGCTTCTCAGAGCAGTTTAGTGTTTAAGTTCGTTTCAGTTCACTGAGACTCTGCCTGCACTTTTTTCGCGCACGTGACTATCACATGACACGTCACAACCTTGCGGCGACCGTATTTCTTATATTATTGTTCAAAGTGTTTCCATATGTTTTTTGTCTTCTCGCTAAAGGCAATATCTAATTTATGTTAAGCAAAGAATAGCCTGTCTTTAAAAACGTCTATCATGTAAGACGAACTATTTGCGGCGGGATCTGGCGTTACACGGCTCACAGTGGAATTCAGGTAGTATCTGTGCTCCATTGCTGTCCGAGGAATTATGTATCTAACGGTGAGCGTTGAGTGAACACAGCTGTTAAATGTAAATTTATTCCAAAGTGGCTACCAAATATTTTTACAGGTTTAAAAGGTTTAAATTACCAACACTTTAATGAATAACAAAAGTTTGTAAAATTTCAGTTACATCCAAAAATATATATATATTCCGATTATTAAATTTCCCTCATCAAATCATAATTTGCCCACTGAAACCGGTCGATGGCGAGGGTTAAATGACCAGCTGTTCACACAACAATGACAACTGCCGTGATAGTGGTGATGGAGAATGTTGGGCTATAACATATACTCTAATTCAGTGTTAAAACAACGGTTCCATCCTTCACTCGTTTACCCGGGCTTCGTTTTAAGTTAAGAATCGCAAAACAATGTCCGAACTCTTAAATCATTAATGTGGCTGTATCAATATTTGCAATAACATTTCATTTAGCAATTGCAGGTAAACTGTATTCTATTTGAATTAATGAAGGATTTTACTATCATTGGTCATTTTGAAGAAAGAAGGTTTAAGAGTTCAATTTATTTAGCCGCGTCATACCAAAAGACGTTAAAAGATTATACGTGCTGTCATCATCCCTGGCGCTAGGCATTAAGGGACTGGTCGGCTTGTAGTCAGTATACTGTGTCTGAGTGGGGTATTCATGTTAAACAGCGGCATGGTATCAAGGTGGGCTAGCACTATAAAATCGGCATCAGTCCGGATAGTACAAGCAGACAGACAGACAGACAGACAGACACGCACGCACGCACGCACGCACGCACGCACGCACAGTCAGACATACAGACGATGTAAATACTATAACCTTGAGCGCGACGTTAAACCCCATTTCACCTCACGTCTATAGTATAATTCTAATCCAAACAACTAGATCAGTCTTGATCCAGTCAACCCTGATTGAACTCTTCAAACGGTTTATTAACAGGACGTCGACTCTCATAATCCTGGTATTGTTTACAGTTCTCTTATCTTAACAAACCTAATCCGGATGAGCTCGCGTGGCGACAGGGGGTATCTCTGTGTTTGGGAATGCTATTTTCAGTACATTACTTTATAATTTTATATTTGAAGAAGAGGAAGAATATTGCAGGAAACGTCTGCCCTCCTTTATTGCATGTTTCGCGTACATCTGGTAGTAGACCCGTGAGGCCCGTGAAGATCCGGGGTAGAATAGGTCTTCAGCAACCAATGCTTGCCGTAAAAGACGACTATGCTTGTCGTAAGAGGCGACTAACGGGATCGGGTGGTCAGACTCGCTGACTTGGTTGATGCATGTCATTGTATCCCAATTGGGTGGGTCGATGCTCATTATGTCAGTCAATGGATTATCTGGTCCAGACTCGATCCCGATTATTTACAGACCGGCGTCATATAACCGTGGTATTGCTGAGTGCGGCGTTAAACAAAAAACACACAAACAAAAACATCTGGTAGTAGAACCTTGGCACAACGTAGAAGCTCCCGTCGGCAAAGATGGTGTTTCTTGTACATTGTTGTTCCATGTTCTTGGTGGTCGTAAATCCAGGATGTCCTCATCACCATTGCAGATGGCGGGAAAGTATTCACCACTTTCAGTCATATGGAATGGCTTTCGAATGATGAGGTCACGTCGATGGGAAGGTAGGGATGGGTAGCTGCTGCTTCCTGCTCGGTGCAGGAAGTCCTTCCTAGCGTCGAAGGTCGGCATGGATGAGACACAAGATCTCTTTTCCTCAGTCCATTCATCTACACGTTCACTTCCTTTTGGTTAAATAATGGCAGTGGTCTCAACCTTAGACTTTAGCGACAGAAGAGTTTAGCGAACCTAAAAATATTTAAAAAATATTTTTGTAATAAATAAATAACACACAATAATAAAATATATCAAGAGTCGAAGTATTAGTATGGATTTAATTCGCATTTCAAAATCAATTCAAAATGAAGAACAAAATTTCGTATGGATGACAACTTTTTTTATTGTGCAATAAGGTAACGTTTCGGAGAAGAAATAAACACCACAGTCACGCAAGTACTGTCATGACTTCTATTTATTTTGTTGGCACAGTTCATTTACATATAATATTTTTAATTTGAAGTTTACACGATATACAACTTATCCATTGGAAGAGAGGTCAGTCACATGACCGCGAAATTGTCGTTCATAAGTGTATGAACGACACAATTTGACGTTCATGCGTTTTTCACGAGACCGTGTTCTTGAAATGACGTAAACACTGACGGACTACTTCCACATTCCTGGGGAAATCTCTGGGAATTCCCTAGCATGAATACATACAGAAGCGTTCTTTCTGATCATTTAGATCCTTTAATCTTGAATTCAGCATTTCAGTATACATTGAGAAACGTCAGAGAGTTTGACTGCATGATTGTTCACGAATATCATCCGTGCTACGATCACTCCAAACTATCGTTATATCAACTCGATCCGTGTCTAGGCTCACAGTGACAGTCTACAGCAATCTATGAATTTACTGTAGTGTCTATTTGACACATGTTTAATCACCTTTCAATGATCGGCCAGTTGATCAATGATGACTAAAACATGTAACCGCCACAGGTTCATGAACAGCTTCCGAAATCACTCCTGTCACGTTTGTCGTATCGGCCATTTTGACGTCTTGGACTTGATGTAAATATATTACGACGCGCTGTCATTGTGACTGACTCATTAAGGTAGTTCTTAACAGACCTTTCCCATCTAATGGGGATATTATTTGAGTACATTAATTTTGTTTGCAGAAACTACAAAAGTTGTCCCTGTTGAGCATACATAAGCTCATGTCACTTCTCGTTTTGAGGAACTATTTTATTCCGCGATACAGCTGGTTGTTGTTTGGCTGTCAGTGTAAACGTGAAGTCACACATACTATAAATATGATTGTGTTTTGATCAAGGTCCACGTCCTTTGAGGTAAAAATAGATATAAAAAAATGATAAGAATGGACTTGAATTCTTAAATGTCACAGTTCATTTGTTTAATTTGGACGTGAATGTGAATTGTATGTTAAATTACCTGTATGTCCCTGTGAACTCCGAATGTGTGTTTCCAATTCCTCTTACATGTCGTTAAAAGTTGTTGCACTGAGGCTTTGCAAAGCTTGGTGGTACACTGCCAAATGATGTGATCGTCTAGATTTCCCTCATGAATCGATACATGACACCCTCTGTGACTATGTTTATTTGTTTGTTGTCGCAAACGCCGCACTCAGCAATATTCCAGTTATATGGCGGCGGTCTGTAAATAATCGAGTCTGGACCAAACAATCAGGTGATTGGTGTCATGAGCATCGATCCACGCAATTGGGATGCGATGACATGCATCAACCAAGTCAGCGAGCCTGACCACCCGATCCCGTTAGTAGCCTCTTACGACAAGCATGGAGTGAGTGAGTGAGTATGGTTTTACGCCGCTTTTAGCAATATTCCAGCAATATCACGGCGGGAGACACCAGAAATGGGCTTCACACATTGTACCCATGTCGGGAATCGAACCCGGGTGTTCGGCGTGACGAGCGAACGCTTTAACCACTAGGCTACCCGACCGCCCCGACAAGCATGGAACCTGTCAAGGGTGTACTATGCAGCCTTCGTGGATAGAGGCAGAACGTGAAGCCACCTGTCGTATACCCCTCAATGGTAACATAAAACTTGTGACATCTCAATGAAACGCATAACACAGAGCAGTGAATCTATGCTATTTATTGCCGGAGAGATAAATGTCAAAGTAGTATAATTTATGTATATATATATATGTGTGTGTATAGAAAATAATGCTGCATCATTAATACTGACCGTGTCCACTTAAAGTGGACATTTGACCATGGCCCTTTGTTAGCATGGCTGTGGGGAGCTAATGACAATGGGTTCGGTGTCAATATCATTTTACAAATGACCATGTAGATGAGGACAATCTACAGTACCACGTCACATCTGGTTAAATAAATGATCACCTAAATGCCCCTAAATGCTAAGATTAAACTGAAATAGCTACGAGTGGGATTTTAAAATGGATGTAATTTCAAACTAATGTGGATCGATTTGCAATATTTAAAATGTCGTTACTCCTCGGATGGGTAATTCAACATCCTTGATTATTATGTGTACCACATCTCGATTCCTTTTGATGATTACCCTTATGATGATGACTTATTCCGAGTAGAGCCGGGATCGAAAGACGCTACGCTAAAAACAACCGTCCAGTCATTTTACGCTCGTGTGCGAGAACCATTTTATGGGAAGTCTTTTTGTTGTTGTTTTTATGAGAGAGGTGCAGATGGTGACGTCATTTGTCTACGGTAGCAAATGGGTCATATTATTTATCGTTACAAAAAGGTTATGCACTGGCCATCTGAGGATAGTCACTCATGTACGTATTCTCCCAAGTTCGCATACATCGACTTGTACATATTCATCCACGTCCACGAGTAAATGCATGTCAACTTGACTTGGCTGCAAGCACACGTTTTTCGGCTCGACTGTCGTCTAGCACTAGAACCCATCACACCGTTCTAAGGGCTCGCTAACGGAACTCAGCAAGAGCGCCATCGCATGGCGGCGCTGTCTTCACCAACTAAAACACGGTGTAGGAAGTTCTCTGCGGGAGGAAGGATCTGTACTGTATCTGTCGGAGGCGTAGTTCCTGCTTCAACGCCATGTATTCCTCCACAGTGTACTGCTTCTTCGGCTTCTGCAACAGAAACACCTCTGTAATACTCTAGCCAAGGAGCTAATTTGGGACCGACCATTTGAAATTCGGGGTGGGGGTGGGGGTGGGGTAGTGAGGTCGGTGGGTAGTTGCCCAGGGGGATGGGTTTGGAGCGTGGGGGCCTTTTTCTATCCGACAAAATACGTTGTCCCAGAAAATTCCTGAAAATAAAAATAATTATGCTTCCGACTGATGAGGGGGAAAAAATCCTGCCACAATAAATACACTGTTGCAATGTTCTCTGAAAAAACTAAAAAACTCTTTCTTTTAAAAAAAAACATATCTGGTTTTGTAGCTGCAGCTGAAAAAAATCTAAACTCGACACACACACACACACACACACACACACACACACACACACACACACACACACACTCACTCACACCAATCACACACACACACACTCTCTCTCTCTCACACACACACACACCAATCACACACACACATACACACACACACACACACACACTCACACACACACTCACTCACTCACTCACTCACTCACTCACACACACCAATCACACCTCACCTCCATCTACGAGCCTATTAAACAGCAGTCGCAATTACCATGCATCTTTAGCTAATGGCTAACAGCTAGTCACTGTCGCAGTCAAAACCATAGCTAAATCCTATTCTACTTGCGCAAAGTAATTATAGTGTGATTTTACGACGGCTTGAAGCTAAGTTCGCGATTTCACCTGAGATCGACATCACCTCACCTAAGATCGACATCACCTCACCTAAGATAGACAGCATCTCACCTAAGATCGACATCGCCTCACCTAAGATCGACATCATCTCACCTGAGATCGAAATCACATCACCAACGATCGAAATTATCTCACTTAAGATCGACATCATCTCACCTAAGATCGACATCATCTCACCTAAGATCGACATAACCTCACCTAAGCTCGACATCATCTCACCTAAGATCGACATCATCTCACCGAAGATCGACATAACCTCACCTACGATCGACATCTTCAACGGTGGGTGGAGTTATGAACGTATTAAACTGGGCCCCTGTCTACCGATGTCTGTACAATCGCAATATTCTGCGTACCAATAGTTGAACCACCGGTTACGCAACATACATAATTTGAAAAAAAGGTTCCAATTAATTCAAGATAAAAAACACTCGAATGATCTTGAGTTGAATGCACACACGCAAGAAGTATTCGTCGACATGTCACATCACCACTTCTTGCTGCGTTCCCTTCCTGTAGGTAGCTACAACATTTTTTCACTGTCACCCTTTTAGATAATATGACATGCAGTTGACAGGCAGATTGCTCTACGTCGTGAATAAATGACTGTACAAAATCCAGTTTTACGAAAAAAAAATCCTCATGAATTTTACTCTAATCTTTGGTGAAAAAAATTTACAGGAAGCATCGTAAAATGTTCTGATTACATCTTATTATTTTTTGTGAATTTTTTTTCACGAAATACTGCGAAATTCAGGAAGAAACTATAGTTGTCATGACAACAGCGTTAACGTATCACGCACCTGATTCACAGGCATGTCCGCATATATTTGAGGTTTGTAGCATGATTATCAGTCCCATAGACATCCTACTGATGTTTTGCTCTTCCAAAAAATATTAATATCCTTTGACAACCATTACAAAATTCATGGTGAACAAAGTTTAGAAAATGCTTAAAACAGTGGTGTAATTAGTGGCATTTGCAATCCAGCAATAACAAATTCATTTGAAAATCAATCGAATCACAGGGCATACATAAAGCGTGGACACGGAAAAAACATCAGACTGATTCCTGCAGAGAAACAGTGATCATTTCATGCGTCAAAAAACTTATTATACATAAACTGCACCAGGGTAACGAACGATTCTCATTACCTCAGTGGTGGTATTGGGGAACACCGATTTAAGTTTTCAGTAAATATAATCAGGTGTAGACGCTGTCCATTCCAAACAGGACGTTGGTAGGTACCAACTACCATTTTCTCGCTGGACAGTAAAATTTCAGATTCACCTAAGCACATGTAGCATAATTTACGAACGTTTTCAACACTTTTAGTTCATTTTTATACTTAATCGAACTTGTATCATGCATCGAATGGCTTTCGGACCAGACGTCAAAATGGCCGATACGATAAACGTGACAGGAGAGATTTCGGAAGTTGTTAATGAACCTATGGCGGTTACATGTTTTAGTCATCATTGATAAATTGGCCGATCACTGAAATGTGGTTGTAGAGATGTGTCAAATAGAAGCTAAGGTACATTCATATATTTCTTAGACTGTCACTGTAGTGGGGGCACGGGTGGTCCAGTCGTCTAAGGCGCCGCGATTCGCTGTGCAGAGTCGCGTCCCTTGGGCACGCCAGAAACCTATGATTGTGGGTTCGAATCCCGGTTCGCCTCGATTATGTTTCTAGGTTTGTCAGCACAATACCCGTGCTCGTGGGTTTCACCGAAGTGGTAAACGTCTGAAACCTGCATCACTTCGGGCTTTCCTCCCACATTAAGCTGACACGCCGTGATATAACTGGAATACTGTTAAAGGCGGCGTTAAACCCAACTCACTCACTGTCACTGTAGTCTAGACACGGATCGAGTCGATACTATGGTAGTTTGAATCTGCTTTTCTTCGTTCTCTTCTCTCAGATGGGTTGTAGCGAGAGGACATCCTTAAACGGACATGCAATCAAACTCTCTGACTTTTCCAAAGTATGCTCAAAACGCTTAGTCCAAGATTAAAGGATCTAAATGATCAGAAACAACGCTTCTGTGTTTATTCGTGCTAGGGAATTCCCAGGGTTCCCCCAGGAATGTGGGAGTAGTCCGTCAGTGTTTACGCCATTTTAAGAATACGGCCTCGTGAAAGACATATGAACGTCAAATTGTGCCGTTCATACACTTATGAACGTCAATATTGCTGTCATGTGACCGACATCTCGTGTAAACTTAGAATATAAAAAATTACAGCATTTCAACTACCGTATTCGACGTAATAAGCGCCCCGCTCTAATAAGCGCCCACGGCGATATTTGCTAATATACTGGCTAATGTACAGTCCAATTAGCACCCCTTCCGATTGATAAATGTACACAAGACTGTTTATTCGTGCATAATACGTTTGATGTATGGACCCTCAATTATGGGCAATTAAATACTGGAAGATATATTTGTCGTATATAAACATTTTATCATAAACCACGAAATTTACGCTCTTCGAACTAATTTTGAGAGCGCCCTTGGCGCTTAATATGTCGAATACGGTACCTTGTTTTGCCCGTGAAGAGCTGCAAACGTCCTCATGTCACATTAAACAATAACCCACATTCGCTCTCTTTTTTTAATAAAAGCGACAAAAACACAATTACAAAATCAAAAAACAAAATCTTCTAAAAACAGTCCATTGTACGATTTCGACTATATAAGCATTAGTTAATGATCACTATAAATAGTGAAGGCGCTCGCGAAAGGGTTAGCGTATCCTGTCACACCGGTGGCACCAGTCACAAACACATGCAAAGTCAAAAACCGTTTTCACCTTAAAAGTTGTTGTCACTGATGCGTCAACTTTTGAAAGGTCCTCCACCATAAAACTTTGTGAAAGCTTTGCCGAGTTTGAGCAAGAGTCGTTTGACCCTCTTGAAATCTTTGCAGAAAAAAATACTCGATTGTACCTCAGAAATTTTAGATTCATGTAGGCTGGAGCTGCTCGAATATTGCCCGACACAAAGGGAAAGTTGAAGCCACCCCTTTTACAATCTTGCGGATAGTTTTATTGTCACTCTGAATCTTTATGCATAGATCTAAATGTGAAAGAGATGAGTCCGTTGCACTGGTCTCTGTTATTGCTAGTCCAGGTGGGTAAATCAGTGGTTATTTAAACAATTATCGAACAATATCAGATGTCGATATATCTGAAGCTTAAACCGTGAAGATCCGGATTAGAATTGGTCTTCGGCAATCCATGCTTGTCGCAAAAGTCGACTAACGGGATCGGGTGGGCAGGCTCACTGACTAGGTTGAGGCATGTCATCGTATCCCATTTGCGTAGATCGATGCTCATGATGTCAATCACTGAATGGTCCTGATTTGATTATTTACAGACCGCCGTCATATAGCTGGAACAACAAAGCTGAAGTTCTTCTTGTCCACATCCCTTTGTCGTAATTTTGCCAATCCGAGAAGACATTCCGATTCATACGAATAAGGAAACAGTTCAACCAGAAGGGGAGCGCACTTGGTGCCTATGGGGATGTCCAATTTATGCCAAAATGCCTTATCCATAAATATTCATTTCACATGCTATATCAATGAGAAATTCAAGCATTTCCCACACTGTTTTCTCAGTCCGTTTCAGATAGCATTTGCTTTCATTTAAGACAATTTGTCCCTAACCTCTAAAGATAGAGATGTAACTCAGGACATCATTTTAACTAACAGTGGCTCCATGGATGATAGAATGGCGTTTTCCCCTAAGTTTGTCGTGTGGGATAGCGGGAAGTTGAAAAATCAAATGTTTTGACATACAGTAAACTACGTTTAAAACGAACACGCTTATAACGAACTGACGGATAAAACGAACTGTTTTTTGGCCCCGTCCATTTGCTGGAATTATGCTGCATATGTGTTTATAACGAACTCCGGTTATTACGAACTAAATTTAGTGGTCCCTTTAAGTTCGTTATAACCGTAGTTTACTATATTTGAACTTCGTTCTTTTCTGGGATGATCTCAAATACCTTTTGTGAATATAAAGAAAGATGTCCTTCAGCAGCTTTGGTTTCCAGTTGAAAAAAACAACCGAATGGACATGTCTTCAGGTTTTAGAAAGTACTTATACGTGGGTTTGGCAGACATCTCCCCCACTACCATCTGACCTGATACTAGTATGTGGCCTTCATTGGTTTGCCACGCAACGTTCTCGTGGCGTCTTTTGTACCAATGTGACATTATTCTTTTTCTTTCAGAACCACGGACATCGAGGCAATTGATTAGTCATGTGTGTAACTTAACACCAGACCCTCACCTTTAAGCACCCACGTCAGAACGAAACATGAGTTAATGTGTGAATCATTTTGTGAAAGCGTGCACGTCTAAATATGGCCTGCACGTGAAAAGAATTCACTGTGATCAGTATCAGCAATGGTAAATATCAGCAAATGGGATATTAAAAATCCTCAACATGGCGTCATCTTTAGCAGGAACAAGGAAAGACAGAACAAGGTTTTGTCAAGCTACATGTCAAAATACACAGCTTGTATAAACAATTACCAACTAGAAAGTGTGAAACCAGTTACCATCAGCACGTACTGTTTCTGTTTTGTTACATATCTCGGTATATATTCATCACACAAAGGTTATACATTGATATAAATCCTGAAATAGCCTGATAAAGTTACAATTGTCACAGTGAGTGAGTGAGTGAGTGTGGTTTCACGCAGCTTTTAGCAATATTCCAGCAATATCACGGCATTATTATTAAGTGTCTCACATAAACACTAAAACGATTTTGGCCAGGAAGCCCTTCGGTGCATGATATAAATAAAATTTATAGATATAAAATTTTGATATAAGTAAAATTTAGTTCAAAATATGAACTAAAAGGGATAAACACTTGCCTAAATCATGCGCCATGAGCTCGGATGAAATCACATTTTTTACTGTCCAGTGAGAAAATGGTAGTTCCGGTAAGATGCGACTAACAGGATCGGATGGTCTCTGACTTGGATGATGCGTGTCATCGTATCCCAATTGCCTGGATCGATGCTCATGATATCAATCATTGAATTGTCTGGTCCAGACTCGATGATTTACAGACCGCCGTCATATAGCGGGAATATTGCCGAGTGCGGCGTTAAACAACAAACAAGACAACAAATCAACTTCCGGTTTGGCATGGACAGCTTACCCCTGTGCTTCAGATCCAGAAACAATAACAGACGTTTCTACACAGCAGGTTTCCCTATCTAGTTGGGAGAAGCACATAAGCATAAGGGGTTAAATTACCAGTCCACCAGTATCCTCAAGGAACTATTGGCGGTCACAGGGCTAAATGAAGCCTTGATTTTGCTGGAATATTGCTAAAAACGGCACAACATGACACACTCTCTCACTCATATATAGAGGGGCGGTGTTTGACAGTAAACAGCCATATCATTTCGATATTTTAATAAGTACTTCAGAATCGTTTTGGTTGTGTTACGTCACAGCGTGTCATGGTGATGTGGGAAGAAAGCTGGCAGTGAAGGTGTGACATGTTATATGGCGCTGGCAGACCAATGAACCTTAAATGAGAATCTGGGATTCGAACCCAAAGGGGCGAAATTTTTTATCACCAGTGACCCCGGGTGAACTAAAACTCATTTCATTCGCGCATGTTTATTTTTACAAATATTACGTTGAGTATACTATGAATAAGAAACTAACGACGTGAAAATGATTTGCAGAAATATTAACCCAAATACATTCAGGATCATACAACCCGTTTATTACATTAACACAAGAAGGCCATTATCATTACGACAGTGTGTAGACATCTTAACTCGTGTTTCAAAACTGCTTTCAGCTTTGAGTGGGAATATAATGATATCCTTGAGACTATTTGACAGGTCAGTGAGTTTCAATGATGAATAACGTGATGTGTTAAATGAAATGAAAATAAAATATGAGGTGTTTTTTTAAAGCAACATATCCTCTCTTTTTGTAAAGTAGGATAATGGTCTTCAAAGAGTGAGCAAGTATGGTTTTACGCCGCTTTTTAAGCCATATTCCAGCAATATCGTGGCGGGGGACACCACACATGGGCTTCGCACATTGTACCCATGTGAGGATTCGAACCCGGGGCTTCGGCGTGATGTGCTAACGCTTTAACAACCAGGCTACCCCGCCGACCACAATGACCTTAGTGTACTGATATGGAAAGTTGTTGCACTTGATGTGTAAATATTTAGAAACAATGTGGCTAAAGTTAACGATCGAATACCCGGATATACCGAATACTCGGGAGATGAACACTAATAATAATAGCGTTCGCTCGTCACGCCGAAGACCCGGGTTCGATTCCCGACATGGGTACAATGTGTGAAGCCCATTTCTGGTGTCCCCCGCAGTGATATTGCTGGATTATTGCTAAAAGCGGCGTAAAACCAAACTCACTCACTCACTCACTAATAATAATAATAAAGCGATAAACATGTTTCCATATCCAATAGAAATCTCTGCATAAAGCAGAGCATAAGAAATGCTTGGATATACCGAATTTTCGGATATAACAAATACACAGATATAAGGTATATTCGGGATATAAGAAATGTTCGGGTATATACTCTGGGATTTATCAGGAAAGTTGGTTTAAAATAAAATTGATGGTTTCTTTTACATGTACCATAAGATGAACTACATACACGTCAGAGAAAGGGGGGTTGGGTGTCCCAGTTGCCTCATAGAGTTCCACAGGGGCTGACAGCATTAGTGGTTCGTGAGTTCGAATCCCAGATTCCAATAATTTTTATTCTTGTTTGTAGGCCTTCCAACATTAAGTTGACACGCCGTGATAGAACTGAAATAATGTTCAAAGGGCACTAGACCCAACTCACCAAATGACAAATTAATTTTGACTACGGGTCTATCCAACACACTGTCGTATATATGTTGATTCTCAGCGTACTGAGACAGACTACGCGTGTCATTGTTCCCCGACGGATGTAGCTCATGCTTTCAATCACTGGTTTGTCTTTAACGCGTTTGCTCGTCACTCAAAGACCCGGGTAGGAATCCTCATTTAAGGTTCCAAGTCTCGTTGTACCCGCCATGCTATTGCTTCATTATTGCCCACAAAATATCTCTCACAGCCGAAACAATGCAGCATTCGAAACCTATTCCAATCTAGTCCACAATTTACTTCCAGGAAATTCACGTTCCACTCCAGTTGCAATTCCAGCTTACCTTTTCTGTGAGTCGGCGTCGTGAATTCCGCCCAGAGTTAGAATGGGCGGATTTTCGGAGTTTTTTGGTGGACTCTGTTAAAGACAACAAGAGAAGCATTGGAAAAAAATACAACGAAAAACACAAAGGCTGATTGATGCTGAATACTATTTTGTGAAATGGTAAAATATCATTATTGCGTTAAATTAATATAGCAATGATAGAGATAAAGAGTATATAATTATTCTACAACACTAATACAAAGCATATGTAACCACACCCTCGATAATCCAGTGTACCATAAGTCCATTCTGTTGTGACATAGAAGATAGTTACGCGATAGATCGCAACGACCAATGGAGAACGAAGCGTGGTTATTTCACGATAAAACATTGTTCTATAATGACGTCATGTCTGGAGATTCGAAATGCGCTCGCAACCTGATGATGTTGTAAAATGGACGACATTATTTCCCCCCAAAGATGTAGATGTGCAACGGAGATAAACGCAGTAACTGAACGATCGCACCTAATGGCGGGAGGGATGTGACAGTCGGTACTGGGAGAAAAGGTACAGATCATCAACGTGAAAATTATCAGAATAAAATGGACTTGTCCGGCGGATTGTATTCAGGGAAATATCATTATTTAAATAGGGGTAACTATATTTAAAGCTTGTACATTTTATGAACATCCTGAAAGACGCTGTACATACTGTTGATATCTTATATAAGAAATACACGACTCGTGGTCGTTGTTTACCGTACAATAAAACACTACAGGGAGAATAAACCACTCGGGGCTGCGCCCACTCGTCGCTTATTTCTTAAATATACCCTGGGCCATCCGCCACCATAGCCTCGTTTCGAAAGTAGCGTTATCTGCGCTCTTGTCACTAACTTAACACTCACTCGGTCATGAGAAACCAATCAAAATTCCTTTTCTGAACTTATGTTCGGCAGAGATCTACAATATTATCGCTGCCTTGTCAGAACGAGACCTCGATGTATTTATTCAAATCAGAGTGAGGGAGTTGGGTTTAACGCCGCTTTTAACAGTATTCCAGTTACATCACGGCGTGTCAGCTTAATGTGGGAGGAAAGCCCGAAGTGATGCAGGTCTCAGACGTTTACCACTTCGGTGAAACCCACGAGCACGGGTATGGTGCTGACAAACCTAGAAACATAATCGGCGCGAACCAGGATTCGAACCCACAATCATAGGTTTCTGGCATGTCCAAGGGACGCAACTCTTCACAGCGAATCGCGGCGCCTTAGACGACTGGGCCAAGTTCGTATGACATGACACTAAAATCAGCCATCGAATCAAATTACAGGATACTGCTTACAGAAACTCTGTGTATGGGAGGTAACGACTCGTGTTATTGTGTAGCGTTTCAAATACAACTGGGGGTATCTTGTAGCATGAGGACGCGTCCTCCCCTTGTCCTAATACTCAAGAAAGAAGTTCAAAATGTTTCGTTGTAAAATCCAATATTTGAAATCCTATATATCAAGGGGTCCCTTTTAAACGGTGTGTTTTTTTAATTTGACTCGTGGACATCTCAGTCAAGGGTATTTTATCATAACAGAATGGAGATATAAAACACTGGAGACTCGATGGTGATATTTCACGAGACCCAGTAAATCTGCAGAAGCTATATAACGTTATAGATAAGTGCAGTCCAATAAAAGGACGCGCTGACAAGGAATACAAGCAAAACACACCTGGATTATGTTCCACTTCAGAAACTAGGTCATATATCCGGGTACTGACAACAGAAACACAATGCGCATGCGTTAAATTCATGCAGGAGGCCCATGCAAAGAATTGCGTATTGTGGGGTGTAATGGCGGTTGTTATACAAGCACATCAAAATTAAATCTCAGTTCTCGCTACCGCTAAACAAAGATCTGAGGACACATTACGAGTCATGTCAGAACGACCTTTCATCCGACCAATCAGAGTGTCGCTTACCTACTCGAAGCACAAACAGTTCAACACGGGGTATTCCAAACGACAATTATGGGCTTTACGACTGAATCTGTCAAAAATCATCGTCTGTCTCTTGCTTCAATAGGATAAACATTTGAACATTTGAACGGAAGCACTTTCGCATAGCCCGTACTGATATGTCTTTTCCCAGAATGTCACATCCTAGATTGTTCTTTTGTATAGTTTTCACATTTTAAATCAAAACTATTTTTCAAAGAGTAGTCGCCAGTTTCAAACAAAGGTCGTATATCTCGAGAAAGCTTCTTTCTGATTGGCTTATGTTGATTTCTTGTTGGTCATTTAATTGGCGGGTCAAAGTTCGCGAAAGGTCGTTCTGACGTGACCTGTAATGGGATGTCCTCAGATCTTTGTTTTCCAGTAGCGAGAACTAAGATATGATTTTAATGAGATTGGGTTGTTATATTGTTGTGATTAATGAAGCCACGTTACACTAGGTATACATAGGCAGACAGACATACATGCACAATGAAGCAATAAATGTATGGCAGATAAAAGACAAAATACAAGATAGAAAAAACATATACGACACATTTTGAAACCGTGAAAGAAAGTACAATACATAAATATTCCTTCTAATAATACAACATTGCCATGGCAACACGTTGACGTTACCTTGACAACGAAGAACCTGCCATGGTGGAGTATGCCCTGTTCCTAACGTCAGCGTCTGACGTCGCATCGTCGTCGTCGCTGCGGTAGGTGTAGAATGCAACGCTTCGTGTCGTATCCCTCATCCTCATATGAACTTTGTTACCTGGTCTTGGCTTTCGCTCATCCTGGTGAAGAGTGAGTGAGTGAGTTAGGTAAAACGCCGTTTTGAACAGTTTTTCAGTTTATCGAAGTGTCAGCATTATTTTGAAGAACAGTCCAATGTGACACAGGTAATAAGACGTTTTCCACGTTGATGAAAGTTACAAACAGGAGAACACTGTGCCGAAAAGGATTATAAAGGTAGTCAATGTGTGATGTTGACTTACTGTATTCGACGTAATAAGCGCCCAGGGCGCTCTCAAAATTAGGAATAGGGGGCTCTTATTAGAATATTATTTTGGTGTAAAAAAAAGAGTTGAAAGATAAATTTCGTGGTTTATGCTTACAGCCTGAAATGTTTATGTACGACAGATATATTTTTCCAAAATTAAATTCCCCATAATTAAGGGTGCATATAACACACGAGTGTGTATTACGCGAATAAATAAGTCTTGTATACATTGATCAATTGGAAAGGGTGCTAATTGGGATTGTTCACTAGCCAATTTATTAGCAAATATCGCCGTGGGCGCCTATTAGAGGGGGGCGCTTATTACGTCGGATACGGTAACCGAAACGGTTGTGAATGTTATTTCACATCGCAGTCGGCAATAAAGCAGCTGTATCACTGCGGCCTATAATGATCGAGTCTTGTCTTGATAAAACAATGGTTGATAATATCACCAACGATCCCCGCCGTCTGAATAAAATAATACGCAATGAGCAAGGTCGCGCTATACAGCACCCGACCATCATTGTCGAATCTTACTTGGATTTTGTTTGGAGATAGGACAATTTTTCAGGTACAGCTGCAAAACCAGATAATTTTTAAGAAAAACTATGAGTCTGAATATTTTTTGGGAGAAAAACACCTTGCAACAATGTAATTTTTGTGGCAGCCAATTTCTCGGAGTCGGAAAAATAATTTTGACATGTACTTAAAAAATATATATTGAGCAGGACATGTTGGATGTCTTGTGTGATAAACATCTTTGTTCGCCTCACCCTAGTGTCGGTCCCTAATGAGGAATTGGACCACACTGAGTTTTGAACGAATCGGAAAGAGACCTAATAGACTGGGGTAATTTCTGCTCCCACTGCTTTATCCAAAGACTATCTGAATATTGAGGAAACTGTCAGCCCTAAATACATCTGTCTCGACAGTTTTCGTGGAGTGGTGAAATGATTGCTGCATGTTTTGCTTTAGCCTCTACTGTGACCTGCGGGCGGTGATAACACGACACATCAGTTGAACCGTGGATTCACACAGTCAAACTCGAACGCCTAACACGCGATGGCGAAATTACCATGTTTTTTACTTATCCTTACTTTGAAATTCTTCATTATGTAATTCCATTTTGTAATCAGAAAATATTCTCAAAATTCGAACGTGTGTGGAACGCCTACTCCGGTCACCATTAATTATCAAGTCACTATTTTTTTTAAAGATTAGTGCACGATGATCTGATAGCCGCAATGGTTAGTTAATGACAGGCGCTTGTAATATTTAAACTTGAGCGAGTCCTTGACACACTGGGGTATTTTCATCGAAGTGGCTAAACACAATATGTTTTGGGTCAAAGTGACTTGCTCGTAAAATAATATTCACTTTAACATTTTCCCCCCTTCTTATCCACTCGTAAGTACTTGATCATACCAGAAATCACAGACGTACCGTAAGAAAGAAAGCCTCGATGTCAGCATTTTTGTAAATGTCTTATATTTTTCTCATCAACATTTCAAGGCTTTACGTAACGGTCAAATTTATTATTTTATGTGGTCCTAAAACAGCCATATCCTACGTCGACCATTGTTCAAAGCCGTACTGTTTAATTTCTAAGTAACGAAAGAGAGGAGGGTGGGTACATGCAACAGTGTTGCAAAGGTTCACAAATGTTTAGCGATACCATGGCAACTCCATATTTCTGTCTAAATGTCTAAGTTCAAAGTCTAACAAAGTCTCGGGTTTCTTAGATTGCTAAGGAGAGGGGTAAGGGTTATTGGGAGGTAACAAGAATAGACGCCAACATATGTCTTCAAACAAGGTATACTTTGGAAAATAGTGTCGTGCAATACTGCTCGCTACACTGTAAGAAATGTGTTTAGATCCTAAACACAAACGTTCCTTGTCACATAAGTTTAACGCGTTCAGGTCTGAACGTGTTTGCGATCTAAAAATGTTTAGGATTGTGTTTAACACAGAAAAGTGTTTAAGGTCTGGACACCAGGGGCGTTTGACTTAATACACATTGATATGCATTTTGTCGTTAACATTTTTATACATGCGCAGATGATAGTGTCACACGAACTTAAAATCATTATTATCTACACAAGTTTTAGGCAAATCAATTTCATCTGTTTCTAAAATGAGATATATTTTTTAATACTATGAGAACCCAATCTACATTCAATTATCTGAATCCCATTAAAGTATCAACTTTCTGTGTACTTTACTTTTACTTGGAGGACGAGGCTTACATATTTAACCAAATGGAAGAAAAGAAAATTCAATTATACCAGAGGTGACGTGGTTTCTTTAAAGAAGATTCTCAACTACGTACTTAAAGAATCAATGTTTCAAACCCGTAGACTTTGTGGTTTCTTAAAGATCAGTGAATTGAGTTTCACAATTTTTCACCAATAAAAAAAAAACATGATCAAAATGCAATGGTCCAGTAAAGATCAAAATGTAAATTGTCGTGAAAAACGGGACAATGTGTTGAGCCCCAATACTCATTATACATATTCCATTTTTTTCAAATTTTGAAATAAAAGGGCTGAGAAGTGAGTGAGTGAGTACGATTTTACGCCGCTTTTAGCAATATTCCAGCAATATCAAGGCAGGGGACACCAGAAATGGGCTTCATACATCGTACCCCTGTCGGGAATCGAACCCGGGTCTTCGGCGTGACGAGCGAACGCTTTAACCACTAGGCCACCCCACCGCCCCAGGACTGGGTAAAAATGTCTATAAGCAGTTTCAGCTTCCGGTATTGTCGACGTGCAAAGGTCAAACCAAAGTCAAAATTTAAATATCGAAACAAACACGTTGAGTCCAACTACTTACCACACATTTACCAAATTTCATAAAATTTTGTACAAATATGATCGAGTGAACTTTTTCAACATGGGTGCCCAGGCGGCCATTTTGAAAATTGGATTTAAAGCAGCTTGAACAAATTGGGGTGTCATCATTTGCTTCACTGATTGATAGGTTTCTGAGGGGAGGATGTTTACGACGGACGGCCATGCGTTTTAGTCAGGTGAGCTAAAAAATTGATTTTAACGCTATGAACAAATCTGAATCTCATTGTGATGCCTGACATTAGGGTATTCCCTTCAGCCAATTCCAAGAGTAAATTGAAAATGTATGGACGTAATTACATATGTGGGATTTTGATCCTGGTGAGCTAACAAAAAAAAAAGAAAATAGAAAGTATATAGTTGTGCATACTTGTACGTCTGTGTCTGTTCTTTCCCCATATTTCTATATATTTCTTAGAATATTTATATCCGTAAATATTAATTTATCCCTTAACTAATTCTTTGAAACACGAATGAATGAATTAAACGCAATATTATGGCTGCCCCGTATATAACCAGTGTCTTTGACTGGCATAAGTTGATACAATACTTTCGATGAAATTCATTCCTGTGTCTTATAATAACTTGCAAAACAAATGTTGGGTCTGTTTTGAGAAAAGTGATGAAAACACATAATATTATGCATGTTAATAATCTTTTTTGACCGATAAATTCCTGGACATTAAAGCATTCTGACAGCAGAGATATAAATGTTGTTACAAAAAAGGAAATAAACTTACGTTTTTAATTTGTGTAAGGGTGGAAAGGGCCAATGTCTGTATTTTGGCCCTTTTTTACCCTCAGGCATTTGTATGGGATTTAACATGTGAGATTGATAAACTACTACTGAAAGTACAAACACATACTATTGAAGTACATTTAAATGATTTAAACTAATGCCAACTTTGTTGAAATAGTTAAAATATAACAATGAGGTTCCAAACTTTCAAAATCTCTCTCAGACAACCAGTCTCAACCACACACGGAAATAAGAGCTAAAAGGGCAAAAATCTAACAAACTGACTTTGGCCCTTTTGCAACTTGACTTTGGCCCTTTTATAGAATTTTAAGTAGCTATATTTCAAAAACGCATCAATGAAACCATTCAATATTTTTTCTACAGATAGACAAGAACTCATAGATGTTATTTATGCAATAATATGCAAAAAGGGCCAAAGTGCATTTTGGCCCCTTTTAGCTCTAAACTCTTCAATTATATATCCACGTTGATACGTGCCTCTCTCTGCATCTATAACCCACACACGTACACTAAATGGTGTAAAAACGTGGTTGAACGGAAATAATTTAGAAAATTACAAGAGCTCTTCACGTACAATCATTGTATTCGTCTTCATGTCTGAAGACGCGCGGAAGTGGGTGGCGAGTCCCATTATATTACCATACACATTGACTGTGAACAACATAAATAGTTTCAATCAAGCACGTGTTTACTTGTCTATTATTACGAGTGGCTGATAGGCATTGATTGGCGCTCGAATGTTGCTAGTCCTGCACCATGACTGTGGAATTTATATGATATTTGATATTTATCAAACTAACCAAGTCTAGTAAACAGCAGAAGAGGAAAGTTTCTTTCGAAAAAATATTTTTTATTATTTTAAAGACATGTTTTCATTGACTAAGTGTTAGTCTAGAATACTATAGTAGGTCTATATTATGTAAAGGAAAATGTCAGAGATTTATGCGTCTTCGAATTCAAAACTGTAGATTCAAAGTCCACGAAAGGCAATTATAATACAATTGGAACCTTTGATGAACGGATTTTTTTGTGTCGATAATTTCAAGGGAAAAGCTTAGCAAACAGTATCTCCTTGAACATTGAACAACACTGAAAACATAAACTCGTTCACATCTTCCCGAGGCATGGTAGTGAACTGACTTTAAAAGTCCAGTTTCCACCCTTGCTGAACTTGGCTGGAATTTCTGGGCTCGGTCGCAGTGCCACCAGTGGCTATTACGAGTTATGTCCCTTCTATGTCCCTCTTATTGACCAATCAGATTCCACTCTGATATCACCTGCATTTGCTTTAAATAAATGGCGACGCCAAGTCAAGACGATCTCATCGATAATAAAGATCTTGATTGTAATAAAAGGGGTTTTTAACTTCGCGAAGTGCATCAAACTACTTGAGCATCAAAAACATGAAAAGATTCGGAAAAAATGTGTCGACGCTCAATAGACGGTGCTCTGCTAATCTCTGCAATCGAACGAATTGGGCACAGCAGTTGCCATGTTGTTTATGAACCGGATGTCGATATCGTCATTCCAGCCAAATTATAGCTCCATAATTCCAGCCTTGTTCGGCTGGGGTGGAAACTTGACTTTAAAAGTCAGTTACCTCCCTTGCATCGGGAAGATTACAAGCTCTCGAACACCACGATACTATGGCAGGCAACAATCACTCTTTCCCCTGCACCGCAAGAACATGACGTGACGTCCTGTCGGGCGTTATGACATTGTGTACAAACACAATAGCACCTCTAGTATATCAATCTTCCAGACAAATATATATACATATATACATTGCAATTAAGGCCCAAGGTTACTAATCAATCCGAATATTTCGAAATCATGAATCATACCATACAGCCATAAAACGCGTAGACTGAGTGGGTGAATGAATGATACGTAACGTAGATATATTCCAGTTCTGTCACGTCGGCCGGTAAATAATCGAGTCTGGACCAGCCAAACCAGTGGTTGATAGCACAAGCAACGAGTTTGCCACGACCTGGGTGTATGACGAGCACTGTCTCCGGCCCTGACTACACCCTCTTCTGTTGGCGTCCGACCCGTGGAGATCCGGGGTAGAATGGGTCTTCAGCAACCCATGCTTGCCGTAAAAGGCGACTATGCTTGTCGTAAGAGGCGGCCAAAGGGATCGGGTGGTCAGGCTCGCTGACTTGGTTGATACATGTCATCGATCCCAATTGCGTGGATCGATCCTCATGATATCAATCACTGCATTGTCTGGTCCAGACTCGATTATTTACAGACCGCTGTCATAAAGCTGGAATATTGCTGAGTGTAGCGTTAAACAACAAACCAACAATCTATTTGCGCCCAGGCGACAGACGGGCACTGTGACCTATTATTCGGAAAACAACAAACTTAACGTGTAAAAAGACACTGACAGACATGCGCTCATATTCCCGATAATGGCATGTGTAAACAGGCAGGTAAACAGGTTTAAAAAGTTCCAGACTATTAGCGAGCTTACATCACTTTCTCTCTCTTCGGAGACGGCGGCATGGACGTAAAACTGTTAATATGGCCACTTTCGCACACCTTTATAAATATACCCGTGTGCAACACAAGTGTGCAGTGAGTATTGTTTTACGCCGCTTAAAGGAACATTTCAACATTATCACGGCGGGAGACACACGAAATGGGCTTCACACATTGTACCCATGTGGGAAATCGAACCCAGGCCTTCTGCGTGACGAGCGAACGCTTTAACCAGTATCAGCCACAAGTATGCAATTGCATCTACTCCAGGCTTCAGCATGTTCAATCGGTTGATATGTCGGATGAAGAAAGATCCGATAAATTCTTTGTTTTTGTCACTTTCATCAAGTTTGAGAATGCAGAATTAAGAGTCAGTACAAATACCGTTGACATACCAACTGAGTTATAAATCCCCAAAAAGACCATATGGGGTCGGAACGAAAAAACAAGGTGGGTTTAATCCCTCTCTATCAGTAGTTCCGTTAATTACGGCGTGTTAGTATAATGGGGAAGGAAATCCCTAAGTGATAAAGTCTAATGTGATAATAACTTTGGGAAAACCCACGAGCTTGGATTTGGCGCTGACAAACCAAGAATCCTAAATATTCTGACACTCGAACTTGCGATCATCGGATTATGCCAGGCATAAGGGAGGCAAATTGCAAGCGAATTTCGGCGCTTTGAAAGACTCTGCCCATCACGCCCCCGATAGGGACAAAAGAACAAACAAACGACAAAAGAAGAATGATAAACTCACGTACCGACATCCCTTGGTATCGGTGTAGCTTGACGGCTCTCTTCACCCCTGCTGACCGCGTCTCCGGGTCGTCCAAGCTGCTGTGCCAAGCCTGGATCCTCTCCTCCAACCGAGTTAACGCCGTGTCTCCGATTGACAACGCCGCCTCGTCCCCACTGTCGGCGTCCTCCCCCAACATCGGCGACAACGTCTGCCTAGTGGTCGTGGATTCTCTCCCCTTGTTGTCATTGACCTGAAACAAGTTGGACTCGTGGAGCAGATCTTCCGGATCCTCATCCACAGCCTGGTACGTGATTTTAGGAGGAAACTGAGACTGGCCGTTCTGAAAGGTTGGAGTAGGTGTCTTCCCGGGTTCCGTTATAAAAGGATTATGCCCTACAGACATCTCCGGTCGAGGCAAGCGTTCATGTCTCTCATACTCCTCAATGATATTCGCTTTTGACTTTCCAACCTCAGGTAAAGCGCGAGCGCCAAACGTAAATTTTGACTGGGACGTCACCCCGAACTTTGAACCCCCGAATTGTTTAGGTCTCTGGGTACGTCTCTTCTTCTCCTTCTCTCTCATTCTGATCATATAGAAGACACTGCCCGGTCCGAACAGGTTGACCAGTGGTCCCTTCTGAAGATTGTCCACCTTCCAGCCAGGCTCGGGGGACTTCTCCGGGGACGCTGTTTGCTCTGTTTGGTTATCCCTCTTCTCCTTCTCGTCCAGTGTGTAGAGGAAGTAACGGAAGAGAGGAAGCTTCTCCTCGCTCAGTCTGGAGAAGTGGAGGCTCAACCTGGTGTGGACGATGTTCTTCATCATCTTGATGGCTTGCGGGTTCCTCCGTTCGATCAGACGGTCGTAGTTCCGCTGGTCAAGCTGGTAGACTTCCGCTTCCTGTGTGCAGATGACGCTTTCGGCGTACGTCGAGAGACCCAGCGCCATTTCTAAGTCACCTGCCGGGAACAGTGAGTAAGTCAGACAGATATGTTATGTGTTGGATAAAACAAGTCCGAGGGTTTTTAATGAGATTTAAAACCCTAATCCGGGGATTGTAAATCTCATAAAATCCGAGGGGAAGTATTTTATCTAACTTATGAACCGACAAAAATATTACCAACATTTATCAACAATTTCAATGTTTCAAACATTACTTTCCATGAACCTTAAGAAACGGACGTAAAATATCTCTTCCTGGCGCACATGTAGGTGGTGAGGTGAAATGGGGTTTAACGTCGCGTCCAAGTTTATTGCACTAATAAAACGACGTGCACGTACGTGTGTGTGTGTGTGTGTGTGTGTGTGTGTGTGTGTGTGTGTGTGTGTCTGATTGTACTAGTCCGTAGTAACGCCGATTTTATAGTGCTAGCCCACTGAGATGCCATGCCGCAGTTAAACATGAATACCCCACTCAGACACAGTATACTGACTCCGAGCCGACCCTATTAGCCCCTTAATGCCGAACGCCAGACAGGGTAACAACAAGTACCATCCTTTAACCTCTTTTGGTATGACGCGGCCGGGAATCCTCGACCTTCCCCTCTCCGGACGGACGCTCTACCACTAGACCACGGAGGCGATCTGGCGTACATGTACTTGGAAAATATACTATTGGTTCACTCGCGAGACTACAGATACGAAGGAAGCAAGCTCAATCCACTGAATTATACAGAAAACATTTGTCATTTGATTCTACTTCATAACGCACATTTCCTTCAGTTTATTGTGTCCCCTATCTTCCCGTGAACACCCGGGAAAGAATAGGTCTTCAGCAACCCATGCTTGTCGTAAGAGGCGACTAACGGGATCGGGTTGTCAGGCTCGCTGACTTGGTTGATGCATGTCATCGATCCCAACTGCGTGGATCGATGTCCATGATGTCATTCACTGGACTGTCTGGTCCAGACTCGATTATTTACAGACCGCCGTCATAAAGCTGGAATATTGCTGAGTGCGGCGTTAAACAACAAACAAAACAAACAAACAACAGATCTAAAAGTTGACCTGAGCTTGAAGGTACTCATCTTCCCAAGGCAAGGGAGTTAACTAACTAAAAAAGTCCAGTTTCCACCCTTGCCGAACTAGGCTGGTCCAATCAAAATCGTGCATCGAAATCGAAACCCGGTTCGTAGAGATGTCGTGCAGATTTCGGTCGATTGCAGGATTCGCAAAGCACCGCCAACTCGTTGTCAAAACAGATATTTTCCAAATCTTTTCATGTTTTTAATCAAGGTGCTCACGCATTGCGCGATGTAAGACCCGTTTTATCACAACATAGACAATGATTATCGATCAGATGTGGGCGCCACTGTTTTGTTTCAAACAAACGCAAGTGATACGAGAGGTGGAATCTGATTGGTCTAAAGGAGAAGCCCAGAAGGGACATAACTCGTAATAGCCACTGGTGGCGCTACGATAGAGCCCAGGAATTCCAGCCTAGTTCGGCAAGGGTGGAAACTGGACTTTTAAAGTCAGTTAACTCTCTTGCCTCGGGAAGATGGAAGGTACTGAAATACTTTTTAACATTTCTTAAAAACCAAAATCCGATGTGATTGTACAGATCTGCTATAAAATAGTGTTATTGTTAGAAAAATAAATACTAGAATGCATGTAGCATTTATCTTGTTTATGCAACACATGTGTACGATAAAAGAAGCTAAACTCCTATTGTTATTACATACCTATTACGTCCACAGCTCCCATGAGGCAAAGTTCAAGATGACGGATCGTTGTCTTTTTGCCTTCTTGTTGCGGCTGTTTCCGTTTCTGAAATGTCATTTTTTTATCCACGGCCTTACTCTTCTCCAGGTTCATCTCCCTGGAAAATATAAATATTCAGAATATAAGAAACACAAGTTGGTAATACCGCATTGTGTTCAGCAACCCATGCTTGCCGTAAGAGGCGATTATGCTTGTCGTAAAAGGCGACTATGCTTGTCGTAGAAGGCGGCTATGCTTGTCGTAAAAGGCAACTATGCTTGTCGTAAAAGGCGACTAACGGGAACGGGTGGTCAGGCTCGCTGACCTGGTTGATGCATGTCAGCGTATCCCCATTGCGTGGATAGATGCGCATGATATCAGTCACTGGATTGTCTCATTTATTTACAGACCGCCGTCATATAGCTGAAATATTGCTGAGTGCGGCGTTAAACAACAAACAACCCGCATTGTATTTATCTCTGTAGTTCCTCCTGATTTCAAAACTGAAACAAGTACGGGAATAGTTTCTATTCTTTTAATTCCCAGGTACACTTTTTACACAACCCCCAAGATTTGACTGGTGCGAATGGAAGCCGCTAAGGTAGGAGATACCCACCATCCATTAGCCAGTGTTTTATAACGGCATTCTGTAATTATGATAGTGAGTGAGTGAGTAAGTTGGGTTTAACACCGCTTTTAACAGTATTTCAGTTATATCACGGCGTGTCAGCCTTATGTGGGAGGCCGTTGAAAGCCCGAACTGATGCAGGATTTACACGTTTACCACTTCGGTGAAACCCACGAGCACGGGTGTGGTGCTGACAAACCTAGAAACATAATCGGGGCGAACCGGGATTTGAACCCACAATCATAGGTTCCGGGCGTGCCCAAGGGACGCAACTCTGCACAGCGAATAGCGGCGCCTTAGACGACTAGGCCACCCGTACCCCCTATATATAATTATGATGATGATAAATGAAACGTGTGAGTGAGTGGAGTTTTGTGCCGCTTTGAATGGTATTTCAATTTCATAACGGCGTGTCATTTTGGGAGGAAAGAGATGCATGTCTTAGGTTATTAGAGTGGAACACACAGGGGAATCGATAATGACCCCCGCACTAAGCCTGATACATTCGTCACCACTCGCATCTTCTCCGAAACCTTTTGCTACAAGACTTCGGTTTGTCCAGAATTCGAGTTGGTCACGAATGACAGTGTTTTGTAATCTTTTTATTTTTTTCATGTTTTTTCTTACTTTTTTTAAAAATAAAGTGTTATTGATACCTACTTCTGATTAAACGAAATAAGAAGTCTTTAATATGTGTGTTTCTAAACACTTCGGAACTACTACAAGATAAGCTCTGTCGGGTCGTGTTCTAGTTGCGCATCGTTGTGGAGAACGGTTGGTGACCATTTCAACGATTAGACACTGGGGTCCGAGTGGTCGAACATACTTAAACCATGTCCAACATTTATAGCACCTAAAATGCTTCAAAGGTATTTTGAGAGATATTCAGGAACTCTATGCTCAACTGTGACTACACCGTGTGAGTCGGCCCTGCGTGAAGCAATTTATGTTCTCCGAGCCTTTCGCACGTGCACCTCGCACTTTGGGATTTGGGTTATGAAATAAATGTCCCGGGGCAAGTATACCATTCATTTTGGACCAACTCGAGCACATTCAATCACCTAAATATTACTTGCCCATGTTGACGGGACTATTATGAGCAAACTTAGCCCTGATCATGATAATAGTAATTTATTTTCTATCTGTTTGTTTCGTTGAACGAAAAGCTACAAAATAACAAGTACTGCACAAATACTAGAATGCATACTAGAGTAACATACTGTATAAAAATTACATAAAACACATTTCGCAGTTCATAAACAGATAAGCACCTAGTCTTGATGTTAGTTAATATTTAGTTATTAATTTCATACAATTTCTCTAATGTCGCCGTGGCAGAAGACTTCATTCGTTAGCTATCTGTGCGGATATCGCGGGTTCGAACCTCGCTGATGTCAAACATTTTTTTTATGAAATTGTTCTATCATCAACATAAATGTAAGGGGAAAAAGAAGTTCCGTCGTTGCCAAGTGTTGTTTTATTAACAATTCAGTTAGTTTACCATGGACAAAGGAGCCAAGGATTAATCATAATTAGTCCACAACTTAACTCTATTGGTTCCTTTTACGTACGCTTCTTCTCTCACTCCCGCTCCTGGTTGTACCGGCAGTGTCTCGTGCGCCTACCTGGGGTGTGACCTGGGCATTTCAAATGTCACTTTGCGTCACGCCACAGCCGAGGAGAGGCGTTCTTGCTGCCTCGACTGGACATTGATTTATATTGATGCCAACGTATTGTTTTACTGAATAAACGATTTTTCAAGTCTGCACCGCCAGTCCATTATTATCAACATCGTTGACAAGGGGGGCGGTCGGGTAGCCTGGTGGTTAAAGCGTTCGCTCGTCGCCGAAGTATCGGGTTCGATTCCCGACATGAGTACAATGTGTGAAGCCCATTTCTGGTGTCCCCCGCCGTGATATTGCTGGAATATTGCTAAAAGCGGCGTAAAATCAAACTCACTCACTCACGTTGACAAGGACCTGCGACAGATAAAATGCTGTATCCTCGACGTTCTTTGTTGAAACGGTGATATTAAAGAGCTGAAGATACTGGTAAATGTTCTATGTTCTAATACTCCAAACGCATGCATCTGCTTTCTCACCTTAGTGGTTGAGTGAGTATGGTTTTACGCCGTTCGCAATATTCCAGCATTATCAACATTATATTCCAGCGCGGGACACCAGAAATGGGCTTCACACATTGTTCCCATGTGGTGAATCGAACCCGGGTCTTCGCCGTGACGAGTGAATGCTTTACTCACGTAAGTTTATATGCTTTTTTGAATATATTCGTCGTGAGAACGGATTTGTGAGTAGAGTGACTCTTGGCGCAAACTTGTACCAATTTCGGTGATGCAAAAGTGAAATTATTCCTTTGTACTTTTTTTCTCTGGGGGATTTATTCCCATGGAACAGTTTTTACTACGATACATATTCACCTGCAGTTCTTGGTGGAGCTAATTCTACGTGAAACTGTTCATCGTTGACAATATTGCATGAAATCACGGTAAACCCCGCCGCTATAGTTCCCTGTAACGTGACGGTGCTTCATGAAGGGCTATTCTGTGCTTAACAGGAAATAGATTTGCATTTTAATTTCAAAACGGAGCGGAAAAATAATTTGAACAGTTGTACAAGGCTGTCCTTTTTTCTGAAGTTCTACTCTACCGCCTGCCCTAATTTTGCGTATCTCAATTTTCTCCGCCGCTGTGGAAAATTCTGCCCCTTTGTGATAAAGTAAATACTACTACCATTGCACACTCAAAAATAACCCAGGTTAGCTTGATCTTTCTTCAGCTGTGTTCATAAAAACTCGTTTCCAAAGCAAAGTGACTCGATGTTTGTCATGAGTTAATTCAAATACGGATATCAAGTGTTTTAAACTTTAAAATGTCATTAAAATAGGTCACACAATTAGTGAAAAACAGTTTTAAATCTATTTTATTTTATTTATTATTATTTTATTTATTTATTTTCATCTTTTTCATTTTATTTATTTATTTATTTATTTATTTGGTTGGTTAGTTTAATATCATTTCATATTTTATTGTTTTATTTTATTTTATTTTATTATATTTTACTTTCTGATTGGGGTTGGAGATGAGAAACACATATGGATGGTCTAAGGTTCACGAATGCCGGATTGTGTATTTGTGTTCTGTTCTAAAATGGATTCTGTGGAGCTCCTGTTAGACTGAGACGACCCAAGTGTGGCTGGAGCATCACAAATGTGTTATCCTTTAACAAGCTCTTGTGCGTGATCATGTGATACGTCCCCGAGAATGCGACTGAGCACGTGAGCGAGTAAATTAATTAGTATGTTAGTGAGTACTTCAAAGCGTGACCACCCGATCCCGTTAGTCGCCTCTTACGACAGTCGCCTCTTACGACAAGCATAGTCGCCTTTTACGGCAAGCATGGGTTGCTGAAGACCTATTCTACCCCGGATCTTCTCTCTCACCTCCTGAGCCGCTCCCTGGCCTTCTCCCTCTCCAGCGCTGCGATGTCCCCCTTGGGGAACAGGGTGGGGTACTGGATGGGGTGGAGACTTGGGTCCACCACGATCTTCACCTGTCCGCTGAAAAACACGACCGTACGTCACGTTCACTGCTCAAGAAATCGCAGGGGTTAAAAAAATGAGGTGGCCGATTGGATGGTCACCATTGATAGCCAGAATGAGCGAGGGAATGAGTGTTGTTTTACGCCACAGTCTGTGTTTTCCCACGGCGGTCTGTAACTAATCCAACAGTGGACCGGCAAACTGGTGGTTGACATCATGAGCAACAGTCAACGTGACGATATATAACTTTGTTTATTTGTTGTTTAACGCCGCACTCAGCAATATTCCTGCTTTTCGCCGGCGGTCTGTAAATAATCGAGTCTGGACCAGACAATTCAGTGATTGATGTCATGAGCATCGATCCACGCAATTGGGATACGATGACATGCATCAACCAAGTCATCGAGCCTGACCATCTGATCCCGTTAGTCGCTTCTTTCGACAAGCATAGTCGCCTTTTACTGCAAGCATGGGTTGCTGGAGGTGTATTCTAACCCGGTCCGATAAGGCTGGTAAGTGCTGAGTATGTATAAAACCATATTTATTGAAAGACTAACAATTGACTAAACTCCTACCTAATGACAATGACTTAACAAGAGCAGTGTGAGTGAATATAGTTTTACGCCATATTTAGCAACATCACAGCGTGGGACACCTGAATTGGACCTTCGCCGTGATATAACTTGAATACTGTTAAAATAGGCGTTTATATAACTCACTCACTCTTACTCGACCACGTCAATATTTCAACATGCAATACCGTCACATCTAGATATATATTACGAGAACACACTTCGCCCCAACAAAAGCGGAGCCTCACGGGGAGCATGGAACGTTCATACAATCCAGAATTAACACTCCTTAATACAAGGACCATTACCAAGATTTCCTAGAGTGGGTACTATGCACCAAAAGTGAAAGAGGGTCGAAAAGGTTTAAATGTAACTCACCTAATTATAAAGTGAAGACCGTCTACGGCTGTGTCCTGTTTGATGACCGTGTCCTCAAACTTGAGGCTCCTCTTTACCAGACTCATAGCGACCATCCTCTTGTAGCGGGGATTCCAGCCCGAGAACAGGGGGTAGTCGTCGACAAACCCGTACTTCTTGTCAAACTCTTGAGCCTGAGGAGGTCAAGGTCAAGGTCAAGGTTACATTGTACCTGAAGTCAATGCTTTGTTATTGGTGCACCACAAAATTTATAATTGTGATTAAAATCCATATAGAATCAGCCATAATGCAGATATGAATGGGTACTGTCCTGTGTCACTTCTAGCAATATTCCAACTATTCCAAAAATAGACACATCCTACAAAAGGGCCCAGTTGGAAATTCGCTGTGCAAAGTTATGTCCCTTAGTCGTACCCGGATCCGATGGTCTAGGTTTGAATCCCCGATACGCCCTGCTTTGTCAACACCATAAACGTCAAAGACCTTCCCCACCTTCCCTTTCACCCACCTGATATGCGTGCAGTGATCTATTATACAGGTCTCTGTTGACCATCAGTAGGTCTGTCGTCTCGTCGGCGATGATGGTGGCGTTGCGGACACTGTCGGCTCTTATAAGGGCAAGTTCGCCGAAACTCTTACCGGCAGCTGCAACACGGATAAATAGAATGGGTGAACACGGACAAATAGAGGGAGAGAACAAGGTCAAATAGAGGCAGTGAACAAGGACAAATAGAGGGAGAGAACAAGGTCAAATAGAGGCAGTGAACAAGGTCAAATAGAGGGAGTGAACAAGGTCAAATAGAGTGAGTGAACAAGGTCAAATAGAGGGAGTGAACAGGATCAAAAAGAGGGAGTGAACAAGGTCAAATAGAGTGAGTGAACAAGGTCAAATAGAGGGAGAGAACAAGGTCAAATAGAGTGAGTGAACAAGGTCAAATAGAGGCAGTGAACAAGGTCAAATAGAGGGAGTGAACAAGGTCAAATAGAGTGAGTGAACAAGGTCAAATAGAGGCAGTGAACAAGGTCAAATACAGTGAGTGAACAAGGACAAATACAGTGAGTGAACAAGGTCAGATACAGTGAGTGAACAAGGTCAAATACTGTGAATGAACAAGGTCAAATACAGTGAGTGAACAAGGACAAATACAGTGAATGAACAAGGACAAATACAGTGAGTGAACAAGGACAAATACAGTGAGTGAACAAGGTCAAATACAGTGAGTGAACAAGGTCAAATACAGTGAGTGAACAAGGACAAATACAGTGAGTGAACAAGGACAAATACAGTGAGTGAACAAGGTCAAATACAGTGAATGAACAAGGACAAATACAGTGAGTGAACAAGGTCAAATACAGTGAGTGAACAAGGACAAATACAGTGAATGAACAAGGTCAAATACAGTGAGTGAACAAGGTCAAATACAGTGAGTGAACAAGGACAAATACAGTGAGTGAACAAGGTCAAATACAATGAGTGAACAAGGTCAAATACAGTGAGTGAACAAGGACAAATACAGTGAATGAACAAGGTCAAATACAGTGAATGAACAAGGACAAATACAGTGAGTGAACAAGGTCAAATACAGTGAGTGAACAAGGTCAAATACAGTGAGTGAACAAGGTCAAATACAGTGAGTGAACAAGGTCAAATACAGTGAGTGAACAAGGTCAAATACAGTGAGTGAACAAGGTCAAATACAGTGAGTGAACAAGGTCAAATACAGTGAGTGAACAAGGTCAAATACAGTGAGTGAACAAGGTCAAATACAGTGAATGAACAAGGTCAAATACAGTGAGTGAACAAGGTCAAATACAGTGAATGAACAAGGTCAAATACAGTGAGTGAATAAGGTCACATAGAGGGAGTGAACAAGGTCAAATACAGTGAGTGAACAAGGTCAAATACAGTGAGTGAACAAGGACAAATACAGTGAGTGAACAAGGTCAAATACAGTGAGTGAACAAGGACAAATACAGTGAGTGAACAAGGTCAAATACAGTGAATGAACAAGGTCAAACAGAGTGAGAGAACAAGGTCAAATACAGTGAGTGAACAAGGTCAAATACAGTGAGTGAACAAGGTCAAATACAGTGAGTGAACAAGGTCAAATACAGTGAATGAACAAGGTCAAATACAGTGAGTGAACAAGGTCAAATACAGTGAGTGAACAAGGTCAAATACAGTGAGTGAACAAGGTCAAATACAGTGAGTGAACAAGGTCAAATACAGTGAGCGAACAAGGTCAAATACTGTGAATGAACAAGGTCAAACAGAGTGAGTGAACAAGGTCAAATAGAGTGAGTGAACAAGGTCAAATACAGTGAGTGAACAAGGAACACTTTACCTACACAATATCTTGACAAACTTGACATGTTATACCCAACCCTAATGGTCTAAATGCAATGGGTTGAAATGTTAAAAGAAAAAACTGAGTTTGAATTTATGTTTTTAGGGGAATTTGTTATGTTTTTACCACAACATTAACGAGGAATTTTGTAAGTTTAGCCGCAGAAGTTTGGTAATTTTACCGCAGAATTTTGATAATTCTACAGCAGAATTTGTCTTGGACAGTAAAATACTAAGCTGCATACTGGCCAATTCCTCCGCATATAGTTCGCACTACATAATGACCGATTTCGAGGAGAAATTTTCATTATGGTCATTAGAAGCTAACATCATCATCAAGCAACATTGATACACGGGTCACGACTCCCGCCAGATGGTATTGTATTACGTCACGTGAACTAGTGAAACTAGTGAATCCAGTTCAAATGTTGGCTCTTCTCAATGGTGGCCGAGATGACCTATGTGGTATAGGTGGGCAGAATGACCCGCGAGAAAACGGAGAGTAAACATTCGGCGCGTCTCATTCCAACTGGCACTCTCGGCCAGCACTGGAAGGAAGACATATTGGAACAGATTCCATAATATCACGTGACTATCACATGACAATACACACAAACGTAGCCGCAGACGTAACACTGATGTAAATACTTAGAGAGTCGCTTGTTGTTTTCCACAAGTCAAAGAGTATGTTCTGCAGGAGACATGGCCTAGGTTCCTGGCACCCCAAAGGTACGCAACTCTGCACAGAGAATTGTGGCGCCTTAGACGACGTGGTCAACCGTAACCCCCTTCCCGCCTATGTACTCACGTATCTTGGCCATGTAGGTTCCATATTTGGACCTGTCCAGAGACTTGAACCCCTCAGACTCGGCAACATTAGCCTCTTCATCCAACTGTTTCTGTTTGATGGACTCGAAGTCGTCTTCGACGAGGTTGGTGTTGATGTGGACGCTGACGGTGCCGGTGAGAATGATGTAAAACCTTGCAGAGAACAAGAGAGACTGACCAATGGAGATTTGATTAACAGATGGTTTGGGCTTAACGTTCGCTCGTTACGCCGAAACCCGGGTTCGATTTCCCACATGGGTACAATATGTGAAGCACATTTCTGGTGTCCCCACGCCGGGATATTACTGGAATATTGCAAAAAGCGGCGTAAAAAAACATACTCACTCACTCTTGTGACTTATAAATCACATGTGATTTCTCACTCACTCGAAAGACCGAGGTTTGATCGACGGTTTTTGTCAAATGTCTGTTTAGTCATACATTGTTGTTGAAGCGTATTAGGAATAATAACAGTTTAAGTCTTTAGACCTTATGAATTATAACAAACTGCACGACGCTTCTACTTACATGCATGCAACATAAACACTGGATAGATCATAGTAACAACTCACTTGTCTCCCTTGTCGCCTTGTCTGATGATCACGTGATCACGCTGACATGTTGAGAATTCACAGTTTTTCACAATATCCAGCAATATTTCTGAAAAACGCCAGTCAAATATTTCTGTAATATTTTCATATAACTACGCTATCAACACATCATCATCACCCTACTCAACACTTCATCACTACTCTATATAACATTTTATCAGTATATACTTTTAAAACTACTGACACTACCACTATTCCACTGATCACTATCCACGCACCTGTCTTCAGCTCCTTGAAGAGTTCCGCCTTCTTCCTGAACCAGGGAAGGATGGTGTCTATTTCACTGTCCCCCCTCTCTGTGGGGGGTTTGTTGATGATGTGCAGCACGCGCTCGTACACGTGCGCCATGATGCCCCAGGAACTGCCACCGCGACTGCCTGCAACATCATCAACATCATGTGTAGGTGACCGAATGTTCCCAATATGAACACAATTTTAGTTATATCAGGGCGTGTCACCTTGATCTGGGACCGAATGTTCCCAATATGAACACAATTTTAGTTATATCAGGGCGTGTCACCTTGATCTGGGAGGAAAGCGATACAGGTCTAAGACGTTTCCCGCTTCAGCGAATGCCACGAGCAAGAATATGATGCTGACAAACCTAGAAACATGACCAGGACGATGAACCAGCATCATAGGTGTCTGGCAAGCCTACGAGGCGCGACTCTGCCCATCGATTTATGACGCATTTTAGCAGATATGTTTAGTTATAATTATGGAAATGGTTTTGTTGGTTTTATATTTAATTATTTTGACGACTGTACCACTGAATAGTTTTCGTAAATATCGTTCATAAACCAGCCTCACATTGTCAGCTGGCCGGCCATGTGACGTTCGACTACCTTGATACCACATTTACCCTTCCTTCTTGAATGTTGGAGTTATGATTAATATTTAACATCATGCCAAATTTCATTATGTTACACTTGACCTGACAAATATCAATCATGGGATTTTACGCATTGCCTATCCACAATTTTTATTTGTTTCAAATCCATCAATATTTATCAAGCTATCATGCGGAAACCCAGTTTTACCCTGTCCTTAAGATCAACCTATCTGTCTCAAATATATATCATCATTTGTTTAACTAAAAACTGTTAACATGACAGCGTGGTAACCATCTGTTGAGCTTCTGTCTATTACCAAATCATGGCGTGTCCTTTCCTAGGTGTGTGTGATACCGGATCTGTGAAGCATGTGACATAATATCTCAACGTTTATTGGGTTGTTGGACCGCCCCGTGGTCTAGAGGTAGAGCGTCCGCCCGGAGCTATCCCCGGCCGTTTAAGACGTTAAAAGATGGTACTTGTTGTTACCCTGTCTGGCGTTCGACATTAAGGGGCTAAAACAAGGACTGGTTGGCTCGGAGTCAGTATACCGTGTCTGAGTGGGGTATTCATGTTAAACTGCGGCATGGTATCTCAGTGAGCTTGCACTATAAATCGGCATCAGTCCGGGCTAGTACAAGCAGCTACACACATGTGCATGCACATAACTATCATCTCACTTCACCTACTGGGTTGTTGGGTAAGTATATTTGATGCAATGTCGCTTTGAACAATATTACAATTAGGTGTCAAGGCATGGCAACTTAATAACAGGGGTATCGTGTATTGTAAAGTATATATATGTGGGTGTGCTGCTGTTTGATTGGCTGAAAAACACTGGATAGATTGGATCCAGGAATCCTTTCGCACATATCATTGTGTAGAAACGCTTTTCTTGAAAAGTATCATTTTCTCTCAATCCCTAAGTTTGGGAACAAAACGTGCCATTCGGTTGTTCGTTTGTTTTGTTTATTTCTTTGTTTGCTGTGTCATAGCTATGTGACGGCCGTCTGTAAATAATCGAGTCCGGATCAGAAGATCCAGTGTTTGAAATCATGAGCATCGATTTATGCAATTGGGTTACGATGACATGCATCAATCAAGTCAGCGAGCCTGAACACCCGAAAACTTTAGTCGTCTCTTACGACAAGCATGGGCCACAAGAAACCAATCTCAACTCGGATCTTCACAGGTACCCTTCATATCAGAACAACTTTGATTTAGTTCATTAATGCTGAATGTTAAAGGTAAATGGTTAAAGCGTTTGCTCGTCACGCCGAAAGCGCGGGTTCGATTCCCCACATGGTACACTGTGTGAAGCCCATTTCTGGTGTCATCTGCCATAACATTGCTGGAATATTGCTAAAGGCTGGGTAAAACCATGCTCATTACTCATGTATTGGGGAGATCTGAAGTGACACATCGAGCATTATATTTCAAGAAACAAAGTTAACTGTATAGTTCTTACAGGCGAGGACACAGACACTTGACTCGAACGTGATCTCATCTCATGTTCGTCTTTATCTTAGCGCACCACCTCCGTGGTCTAGTGGTAGAGCGTCCGCCCGGAGAGAGAGGAAGGTCCGGGGTTCGATCCCCGGCCGCTTCAGCCCAGAAGACGTTAAAAGAGGGTACTTGTTGTTACCCTGTCTGGCGCTCGGCATTAAGGGGCTAAAACAAGGACTGGTTGGCTCGGAGTCAGTATACTGTGTCTGAGTGGGGTATTCATGTTAAACTGCGGCATGGTATCTCAGTGAGCTAGCTCTATAAATCGGCATCAGTCCGGACTAGTACAAGCAGCAACACAAACACACACACGTACATGCACGTCGCTATATAAGTGCAATAATCTTGGAGGCGACGTTAAACCTCACCTCACCTCACCTCACCTTTATCTAAGCCCTTGTGTGTTCGAAGGCTGTACCAGTTGAACTACTTCACCACGGCCGAATTCGGTTGGAGTAAGGTTCATAATTATGAGTGAGTGAGTACGTTTAACAACGCTTTGAACAATATTCCAGTTATATCACGGCGTGTCAGCTTAATGTGGGTGTAAAGCTCGATATGACGCAGGTCTCAGACGTTTACCACTTTGGTGAAACCTACGAGCACTGGTATGGTGCTAACAAACATGGAAACAAAATCGAGGTGAATCGGGATTCGAACCCACAATCATAGGTTTCTGGCGTGCTATGTTATAGTATCATACCGCTGTCAATGAAAGAACTCTCTCTACACCACAATGAACCTAGACCACAAGCGGTTTCTGTGTCCAATATAAATATGGAAACAACATAGAAAATCCGACATAGGTTTTCCCTTTTCAATATTGTGTGTTCCGAATGCATAAAAAATCTTGAAACCGACTCTATTATACAACTTTAAAAAACGTTTCAAATGTTATCCTTTTTGGTGCATTTCGTTTCCTTTTTTTTTGGTAATCTGAGATGTTCTTTACATTCCATATTAATAGACTGTTCAACTATGAAATGAACGCAGCAGAACACGGCGCCAGAAATCAACACATTCCGGGCATCAGGTTGATAATGTGTTGCCGTGATAATGAGAGAAACCGGCCATTGATCCAGAACCGACTGGCGTTTTATGATCAACGTCCCCGGTCGTTAGTTGAAAAAAATCGATTTTTCCCTAACACCTATTAAGTTACCCGTTGTTCTTTTACAGCCAAACCCTCCCCCCCTGGGACCACCCGACTACCCAGATATGTGTTTTGTAGTCTGAACCGTAATACTAATTTAAAACTGTATTAATTACGACGGTAGATTACGCCAGTAAATACGACATCACGGGCGATGATATGCACCAAGTGATCGCGAGCCAAGTAATGAGCAATCAGCTTGGCTGGTCGGAGTTGGACATCAATACTCTACGGAAAGCCATTATAAAGGCATTGTTATGTTTCTGTGCCTAACTGAATAACCACAAGCCATTACGTCAACGTGCTACATCCGGGTAACGCCGGTTAAATCGTACGGGAAAGGTCTAAATTTATTTTTCAAATCCATATTATTCTAACTCATATATTTGGTTTCTAGATTTGGGATAATTCGCAAAGCAAGCACGGTTGACTCAAGTCTTCGAACTTTACTTGTTTATTTTTCATGATGTATATGAATCAGTTATTCAATAGTTAACTAAATCTGTTATCTCCAATTACACTGAGATAATGTTTCAGTTTCACACAGGAAACTAATTACATTGAGATAATATGTCAGTTTCATACCGGGCTCTAATGACACTGAAATAATGTGTCAGTTTCACATAGGGCTCTAATTACATTGAGATAATATGTCAGTTTCACACAGGGCTCAAATTACACTGAACTAATGTTTCAGTTTCACACAGGGCTCCAATTACACTGAGCTAGCGTTTCAGTTTCACATAGGGCTCTAAATACACTGAGATAATGTTTCAGTTTCACACAGGGCTCTAATTACACTGAGATAATGTTTCAGTTTCACACAGGAAACTAATTACACTGAGATAATATGTCAGTTTTATACCGGGCTCTAATGACACTGAAATAATGTGTCAGTTTCACACAGGACTCTAATTACACTGAGATAATGTTTCAGTTTCACACAGGACTCTAATTACACTGAGATAGTATGTCAATTTCACACGGGGCTCCAGTGACACTGAGATAATGCATCAAATTCATACGGGGCTCTAATGACACTGAGATAATGTTTCAGTTTCACACAAGGCACTAGTTGTCTCCCTTTAACAAAGAGGGTAAACTTCATAGCACTAGATGGCATGTCCCTACCATCCCAGAGTGAAGTACTTGAGACAGGAGTCATGTTTGTCTCTGAAAAGGTGAGCTGCAGCAGCTTATTTCCTGTTGCTGCTGCCTGCTTGGTGAGAAGATCCGTACTAGAGGGTGGGGCCCGTGAAGATCCGGGGTAGAATATGTCTTTAGCAACCCATGATTGTCGTAAAAGGTGGCCATGCTTACCGTAAGAGGCTACCAACGGGATCAGGCGGTCAGGCTCGCTGACTTGCGTGGATCGATGCTCATGATGTCAATCACTGTATTGTATGGTCCAGACTCGATTATTTACAGACCGCCGTCATATAGCTGGAATATTGCTGAGTGCGGCGTTAAGCAACAAACAAACAAACTAGAGGACGGTATTGTTGATGGAGGATTGAAGAGTCAGTATGACTCTCTTCTCAGGCGGGGATGTGGCTTTATAATGGACCCATATGATAAGTTGGTTGGTGTACATTGGGGTCGGGCCCACTGGTAGAGGATATGGAGGTGGACAAAATTCACCCGGATGTGGTGGTGCACAGAGGATGGTGAGTGGGGTTGGGCGAGTGACATGTGCCAATATTCAACCGGACTCTCGCTAGAGGAGGATCTGTAGAGTAGAGGGCGAGTGGGGTTGGGCGAGTGATATGTGCCAATACTCACCCGGGCTCTCCCTAGATGAGGATGTGTGGGAGTACAGTAGAGGGCGAGTGGGGTTGGGCGAGTGATATGAGCCAATACTCACCCGGACTCTCCCTAGATGAGGATGTGTGGGAGTACAGTAGAGGGCGAGTGGGGTTGGGCGAGTGACATGTGCCAATACTCACCCGGGCTCTCCCTAGAGGAAGGGTTGGTTTCTCTCGATGCAGGAGCGGGGGCTTTGCAGAACGGATTTGTCTCCCTTGACGGGGGGTTGGTATCTTGAGAGCCCATCCTGGACTGGGGAGCATGACCTTGAAGCTGCGCCATGGTGGATGACCGAGATGTGTCTTTATTGTGCGACATCGACATGGCCCATGTCAGAGCTAAGTATTACCCCTTATTACACTGAGATACTGTTTCAGTGTCACACTGAGTACATTGAGGGTGAGGTAGTATGTATATGTTTCCTGAACGTAAAACTGATTCTCACAGGAACAGTGGTCTGATTCTCGCATGAACGCAGAACTAATAATTCTCACATGAACACAGAACTAATTCTCACAGGAACACTGACCTGATTCTCACAGGAACACTGACCTGATTCTCACAGGAACACTGACCTGATTCTCACAGGAACAGTGACCCGATTCTCACAGGAATATAGAACTAATTCGCACACAAAAGCAGACTTAATTCCCACATGATCACAGAACTAATTGAACCACAATTCACACTGAGAACGAACTGCCATCCAAATTAAAATAGCTACAGATTTCTGAAAGATCCAGTGTCCATGTTGGGAAATATCATACAGCACAGAAATCCAAGATTCATTTTCCAATTCCAAGCAAATGTTATCAAAAATTTTGACTGATTACGTGTTTCTCACACTAGGTTAAAGCTGATGGTCTTCAATCAAATTGAATCATTTCAGGTTCAACTGATCATATCTTCTCCAACCTCCATCACGCTGTATCCGCCAAGACTCCATCACACACAATACAATCATGAACAGGACAGCCGGACTTCTCCAAGACACTTGTCATCACACGTGGAACACCATCTCAACAACACGTACAAGCACTAAAACCTTATCCTCTTTTTGCAAAACCCTATCCTCATTTGCACAGGACGTCGATATGTAAGAGTTACAAGAAGGACGCCGGACAATTACAACTGTGAGAAAAGACCATTGAATCTGTTACCCCCTTCAGCATTAAGGTATCCCAGAATGCAACCGTCCGGCTCATCTGCCTACGGGATCTCTCTGAAATCTCGCCACAAGCCCCACACAGCGCCACATGGTGGCCAGGAGTCCACGGAGGTGACAAAACAATGTCACAATGTCTTACAACTGATACCTGGCCTTTTCACAGAAGTCAGAAACGGTTAACTTGTCCTCTATTCATATACAGAAAGTTCTGAGCCCTATTGGTACACCTGAAAGCTAACTTGTTGTTTATGATCAAAAGCGGGGAACGAATGATCGATAGAATATGACCAATTGTCGATAGTGTTGGGATTGAAGCGGCGCTCGGCGTGGGGAGAGTGTGTTTCCATATTTGTCCGCGGTTGCCCAGTACCACGGCGGCGTCGCTATGTAGACGTTTAGGACCGGCCACGACGGTGAATAAAACCGGGCTGTCTTAGAAAATCTCTAGCGGGCAGCAGAGTTGACGCTCTTTGACTTCCATATGACTATTTAATATCGATAGAAATTCAAAGGGCACCGTCCATGTGGATAATTCTCTTACAATGGTCATCGACAATGTCCTGTTCGTAGCACGGTCTCAAGATACGGTACTGGCAGGGGTTTTAAGGCTAGGGATGTCGGTCCAGGCAGTAGGCCCATATTTGTTAGGAATGGTTTCCGCATCGTCAGCATCATATATAAGGAATAATAAAGGTAGAACGAGTGTCTTAAGCGAGCATAGTACACATTTCTTTCCTACTATTTCCGTATTGCAGGTGTCAAATATTAGGAATAATAATTCTATGAAAGATTCTATTAAGGGAGTCATCATTATTTAAGTACGGGTAAATATGTTTAATGCTTGTACATTTTAATCCTTAAAGAGAAGGTACATAATGTTGATATCTCATATAAACTACTCGTGGTTTTATCGCACACTAAAACACTACAGGAAGAATTAACCACTTTATGTTATATTGTTTTGTATTGTATTGTATTATATTTTATTATTGTTTTTCATTTATGGGGCTTTTTGTCACTTTTGTCGGGGGAGAGGGGGGGGGGGGGGGGGGGTATTAATATTTAGCCATAAGAGTAAGGTTCAGTTTCTGTCTTCTGTATCAGGTTTCCACACGTTAACCCAATTCTGTCCCTAATTGACCATGAACTAAATTAATATAGTCACTGTCCTCCATACTTGGTCACTGTCCTCCATACTTGGTCACTGTCCTCCATATTTTGTCACTGTCCTCCATACTTTGTCACTGTCCTCCAAACTTTATCATTGTCCTCCATACTCTGTCATTGTCCTCCATACTCTGTCATTGTCCTCCATACTCTGTCACTGTCGTCCATACTCTGTCACTGTCGTCCATACTTTGTCACAGTCCTCCATACTTTGTCACTGTCCTCAATACTTTGTCACTGTCCTCCATACCTTGTCACTGTCCTCCATACTTTGTCACTGTCCTCCATACCTTGTCACAGTCCTCCATACTTTGTCACTGTCCTCCATACTTTGTCACTGTCCTCCATACTCTGTCACTGTCCTCCATACTTTGTCATTGTCCTCCATACTCTGTCACTGTCCTCCATACTTTGTCATTGTCCTCCATACTCTGTCACTGTCCTCCAAACTTTATCATTGTCCTCCATACTCTGTCACTGTCCTCCATACTTTGTCACTGTCCTCCATACTATGTCACTGTCCTCCATACTTTGTCACTGTCCTCCATACTTTGTCATTGTCCTCCATACTCTGTCACTGTCCTCCAAACTTTATCACTGTCCTCCATACTCTGTCACTGTCCTCCATACTTTGTCACTGTCCTCCATACTTTGTCACTGTCCTCCATACTCTGTCACTGTCCTCCATACTTTGTCACTGTCCTCCATACTTTGTCACTGTCCTCCATACTCTTTCACTGCCCTCCATACTTTGTCACTGTCCTCCATACTTTGTCACTGTCCTCTATACTTTATCATTGTCCTCCATACTCTGTCACTGCCCTCCATACTCTGTCACTGTCCTCCATACTTTGTCACTGTCCTCCATACTCTGTCACTGCCCTCCATACTTTGTCACTGTCCTCCATACTTTGTCACTGTCCTCAATACTTTGTCACTGTCCTCCATACTTTGTCAGTCCTCCATTTATTGTCACTGTCCTCCATGTTTTGTCACTGTCCTCCATACTTTGTCACTGTCCTCCATACTTTGTCACTGTCCTCCATACTCTGTCACTGTCCTCCATACTTTGTCACTGTCCTCCATACTTTGTCACTGTCCTCCATACTCTGTCACTGTCCTCCATACTTTGTCACTGTCCTCCATACTTGGTCAATCCATAAGAATCTGACCAAAGGAGAAATTGAACACCAGAGGTTGGAGGGTAAAGATTTGACACTACTGCCAACGAACATTCTGTAAGTCCCAGAAGGAAAGCTGTTGTTAGTTGTACACATCAGTCGGCTTAACAGCACAATGCATATAACAGCTATGTATGTGCATAATTATATATCAATAACTCCGTGACTGGCCCTCACATTACACCCGGGTTCAATCAGCGAGCGCCTTGGCACGCTGTATAACATACTATTTGTTAAATACGGCGTATATCTCATAGAGTGAGCGTACAGAAGCGATATAACTGATTTGCCTGTTATTAACGGATTACCAATATACCGAGTTATTGAAGGATACGTTGCGAAATTATACGACATATATTCAATAGCAACATCGCAAATCCAGAGAGTAATTAACAAGCCTCCCTGACAGCTGATCATTGATGATATGACATATTACTCACATAAAAAATGGTCAATGAAAAAATATAGGAGAATAAAAATAACAAAGACAGTTGGGGCAGTTTCAATACATACATATACCGCGTCATTGTTTGTCTGTTTGTTGTTAACGCCGCACTCACGGCTTGTTATATATTGACTACAAAACACAATCAATACACTGTTAAAACATGTGTTTCGATCCTAAACACAAACCTAAACACCTTACTTGTCAAAAAAATCTGACATGTTTAGGTCTAAACATGCTTAGGAGTGTGTTTAACACATAAACGTGTTTAGGGTCTGATTGTGGGAAAGCCATGTACCCCCCGTTTCCTGTATGGTATTAATGTTATTAGTCACACAGCATCTACACACTAATGAACACAGCACTTTTTAAGCCTAGCTATGTGGTGTTTAGGATGTGAGTGAGGATGTGACAATAGCTCATTTCATGCGTTTAGGCCCTTAACGAGTTGAGACATTCAACACCATACGAGTATTCCGTTTATGAGTGAGTGAGTGAGTGAGTTGGGTTTAACGCCGCTTTTAACAATATTCCAGTTATATCACGGCGAGTCAGCTTAATGTGGGAGGAAAGCCCGAAGTGATGCAGGTCCCTGACGTTAACCACTTCGGTGAAACCCACGAGCACGGGTATGGTGCTGACAAACCTAGAAACATTATCGGGGCGAACCGGGATTCGAACCCACAATCATAGGTTTCTGGCGTGCCCAAGGGACGCAACTCTGCACAGCGAATCGCGGCGCCTTAGACGACTGGGCCACCCGTGCCCCCTCCGTTTATGAAACATGTTTAGATCTAAGCATGTTTTGAATGGTTTCCATTCTAAACACATTTTTGCAGTGTTTATTTGTTCAATGTGTTGCGCTTTACGACGTTTATTTCAATGAAGAATGGAGCCTAGGTCACTAGATATTCTAGTTTGGGTCTTATCACAGGTATTGAGTGAGTTTGGTTTTACGCCGCTTTTAGCAATATTCCAGCAATATTGCGGCAGAGGAAACCAGATATGGGCTTCACACATTGTACCCATGTCGGGAATCGAACCCAGGTCTTCGGCGTGACGAGCGAACGCTTTAACTACTAGGCTACCCGACCGCCCCTTATCACAGTTATTGTATATCACATACACTGTACAGTGAAACCTCGTAAGACCGACCGGTTAATCCGAAACCTATCTTCCGAACGATTACCGTTGAGGCTAACAAATATACAAAGTAACACCACTCCGCATCAATGATTCGGTAATACGGACATTTGTTAATCCGGACGATTACCATTGGAACATCATAGCAACGCGCAGTTCGACCGAAGTTCGTGAGTGAGTTGGGTTTAACGCCGATTTTAACAGTATTCCAGTTACATGTTTATTACGTGTCAGCTTAATGTGGGAGGGAAGCCGGAAGTGATGCAGGTCTCAGACGTTTACCACTTTGGTGAAACCCACGAGCACGGGTGTTGTGCTTACAAAAATAGAAACATAATCGGGGCGAACCGGAATTCGAACCCACAATCATAGGTTTCTGGCGTGCAAAACTCTGCACAGTGGATTAACGGGGTTTCACAGTAAATATATCAACCGCAGCTATCTGTATTA